TTCTTGGGGTGCCACCCCGTGCGCCAACCCCCCCCAATAGCCACTATTGGGGCCCGTTTGTGTTGTCATTGTGTCTCGATGCCATTTGCTTCCACTTTTGCCTCCCGGCTCAGGCCCGCAATGGCACCAAAATACAAGAAATCGTGGAGCAACATGGTGAACTCACATTGTTACGGTGAGGTGGTTCAAATTTGGCAACAGAAAAAAAGCAGGTCCTTTAAACCTCTGATGTCAAATATGATTCTTTGCTGAGACTCTACAGCTGCTTCGGGGATTCAATTCCTGGCTTTGTCTGTTTATACAGTACTATCTCTGCTGGTTTCTTTGGCCTTAACTGTGGTCTCACACCCACGCGGGCTTGGTCCATCCACCCTGGCCTGCTATTTGTGTCCGCCCAAAAGCAAACCACCACAACATCCCTGGCCTCACCACACACACAATAATGGGCAGAACCCTGGGTGCTTTATACTGTGACCCTGGGTTAGGCACATCATAACTCAAGTGTGGTGAGGAACATGAAAGAACAGCAGAAAGGACAGAACCAGAAGAAAACAGATATGGTTATATAATTATACAAGAGGAGAGGACAGACAGAAAAAAACGGGAGATGTCACGACATCTCCCTGGTCCCCTTTATGCTGGACTAATGAAAGAAAACTGCCCTGAGAGACAACAGTGGATGAAGACAGTTTAACAGGATACTCACCATCATAGGCATAGTAGGCTCCGTCCTTAAAGACTACAACTGCAGGAAGCTCTGGCAAAGTTAGTGACTGGTGAAACACAAAGAATACCTCATTTAAAACCCAACCCCTGTAAATCATCTTTATTTTCTGATTGTCTGAGCACCTGGAAAATATGAGACTGTTGGCAGCAGGGCACTGCAGCACACTGTGAATCTTAAGCACCTTTTTGCATATTGCTAAGATAGCATCCAGGTCTGGTCTGTTTATGCAGGTCTATAACTATATCCATGCTTAAAGAATACAATTATTTTATTTAGTACTTCAATGTAGAAAACTAGCTAGAATAGGCACTGGATGCACAATGCTCAGAATATCAGCATATTAAGGCAAAAAAATGAAACTCTGCACAAATTCAATATGTCTCTGAAATTCATTATGTAATAAAAAAGATACTAATTCAAAATGTTACCTCTGGCAAGACTTCCTCTGAAGCCGAGAAGAAATAAGTATAGACAATGAGCTCAGAGGCTACGTTGTTGTATTTCTCCTGCAATGGCAAAAAGGGTCTTTCAGCATTTACACAATAGCTTTCAATTAATCACTGTTTAATAGCTGTAAAGGCTATGTCAGTACAAGGTATTACACACAACCTATTCTTGGTTAAAATATGTTAGAGCAGCAGCAGAGCAGCGCTTCTATTTTTTTTAGGCACAGTTTTAGCATTATGTCTGCTTAAAATAAAACAGCAATCTTGATTCACGTCTGGGGAGCATAAATCGTCCTTACTTTGAGGGGCGACACCCCGCCGACATACACAAAAAGCACATCATGTCGTTTCAACATGTGCTCAAACATCTGCCTGCTGGGAAGAGCCCGGACGGATGGTCTGGAGGGATAAAATCAATTCATTTTAATGAGTATTCAAATGAAAACAGCACAAAAATTACACACTAATGTAATTACTAATGCATAACGTCCTACAGTGGTGTTCTGATCGGTGTGGTGGTGGCACCACCTTGTGGGGATTTAACAACTTGCAGCTTTAAACTGCCAAGCTTTTGATCAAGTCCTCTGTCATGGATCTAGCTTGATTTCCCAAAAGGCTCAGTTGATACGGTGGCTTAAACTGGAGCATCAGAGCCAGAAATCTATTCAGCTATGAACTGCACTGCATTGATAAGCTTGCCTGGATGTTTCTAAAATCACATGTTCCTATGATTATAAGGGAGATTCCACTCATTCATGAGTTTCATGACATTTCCTTGTGAAGCGGTAATTGAAGACTGTGACTTACCCTGACACTCTGTTTGCAAACTCTAGAATATCATCTTTTGTCCTTGGTCCCTTGTAATTATAGGCCAGATCACCCTTTAATCTGAGAAGAAAGGATGTAAACACACCATGAGTGACAAGCAGATAATTTCACTGAAAAAAAACATTCAGCACCATTCACTGTTCTAATGTCAGTGACTGAACCCATTACGTGAAATAAAATAAAATGGAAATCAATTGTCTGACAGTGTATTGTGCACCCACAATCGTGGCTTTCCTGAAAAGCTAAAAAAAAAAAAAGAATATTGCAGGACAGGCAAAGCTCAAAATAAACTCTGATTATTTTTATTATTATCATTAATAACAATAATAATGCTTTTACTGGTACTTGTTGGTTTGTCTGTTCACAGTATAACTGAAAAATGAATGAATGGATTTTAATGACAGTTTTGGAGAGGCAGGGTATGGCCAACGCTCTAATGGAACAATCCATTAGATGTTGGTGCTGATCCAGATCAATATCCAGTTCTAGGAATTTTTTAAAGGTTTCTTCACTGCTGTGAGATGGGCCCAATTTCAATATTTATGCTTCCACACACAATGCCTATGAATCTTGGATAAAAACAGCAAAACAACACACACCAAAGTCTGATCTAGATCCAAGTCGTATTCCAGATCTACTGATCCCGAATGTTCAAATATACAGGGCTCAGTGAAAACTTACTACTGTGAGACAAGAACCGATGCTACAGACTTGCAACTAAGATCAAATTCTAGCTGTAACTAGATCAACATCAACAGAGCTGACATATCTTAAAAAAAAGTACTGAGCTAGACCCTGAAGAAAGCCGCCATTACTGAAATATCATTTTTCTTGAATAATTTTCAAACTAATAATGATATCAATGTGATTCCAAATGCTAGAGGAGGAATCATATTATGAGGGTCAAACTACCATGGGAATATTGCTTTTAGGTGGAATGGCATTATGAGGAAACTGAGCTGCCTCAGCGGAGGGAGGACTAGCTCTTCGAGTGCTGTCGAGTTGATAACAGTTTTGATCATTTCTTTCTCAAACGAGAACCTTCGCAGTTTTGATCAGCTCTCTGCACACAGTTGCTACTTTCTGAGCTACACTTTTCTTAATACTGGCCAGGACCTCGACATAGTCCCAAAACAGCCTGAATGTCAGACAATGTCAGATCATCAGCTGCACCACGTGTTCCGACTAAGCTGGGGAGATCTGGTTTCAGGTACAAATGATCTTAAATTGAAATCTATCCTTTCACTTCAGGATTTCAAAAGACTGGACTCAAATATTCACGTTTCCACTTGTAATTGTTTTTCTTAGTGTTAAACCTTTGTAACTTGTGTGTGCGAATTTTCCATCTGTACATGTTTAGTCTTGTACAAGGTCTCTCTTGAAAAAGATAGTACAGACTACCTGTTTAAATAAAATCCATAAAGTCTCTGGCTCACTTGTCTCTCTCTGTAAAATCTAAAAACTATAGTGGTGAAAAATCCCAGGAGTTCAGCAGAATCTCCTCATCTAATACCAACAAATCAGTCTAAAGTCAGATCTCATTTCTCCTGATATCTGGTCTGAACAACTACTCTCGACCATATTTACAAGCTTTTATGCAATGAGCTGCTGCTACAGGTTTGACTGAACAGATATTTGCATTAACAGGTATATACTCAAACATAATCAACCATAATCGAATTTAAAACAGCAAATCTATCAGGAAAGGTTGCATCACCTCAAAGGTCAATGTAATCTAAATCACTGCACCTCCAATGGAAAAAACTAATGACTTTGTGCAATTGAGTCCCAGCCAAGGAAACCACTCGAGTCAAGCTCCTAGGTTGCATCAGCCTGCAAGGTTTAATGACCTTAGGGGGAAACAGACCTCTAAATCAAGTCCCCTTCTGTCACTGAGGGACATATCTTGTGCTCTTCGATGGCTGTTTCATCACTTGCTTGGTTTAATGTTATGAACCCTGCCATGATCCTGGAGCAGTTTCCCAAATGAGCTTGATGAAACTAAATGAGGAGCCCATTCTGGCAGCATGAAGATAAATGATTCTGCTTCAGACATATGGAGGAAACTGTGATCGTTTATCTCAAGTCAACATGAGCTGTGAGCAGCTTTTGGCTACCTACCAATAAGTTTGTATAAAAAAATGTAACTTGAAAAAGAATAAAAACTTGTTGTCAAGTTGTATGAGGAATACTGGTTGAAACAGTTTGCAGTTGGAAATATAAATCCTGCAGACGACATTTTTTGATCAGTAGATTATAATACGTACTGAAGAGGTTTGGGGACATATCTGAGAAAAGTAAAATATAACATAAAAACAAAGGTAAATTTAAATGGCTAACGCCAATCTTAAACAGTTTGACTCAAGAGTGCATCCAAGAGTGATTAATATAATAAAATGTCCAAAGGTGTGAACAGAGTTCATCACTTAGCTATGCATTAAGGAAGCAGCAACAACACCTTATTCTCTCCTGAGGGGACCACAACAGGTCCAACCTCAGAGGGAAAAGGATCCTGATAATAACACAATACAAACTTGAGTAAAGATACCTGAGATACAGGAGGCGAAGAGGGGATGGTATCACATAGTGCAACACAAAAATCAAATCAATTTACAGCTTCAGAAGTAGAGAGAGGGTCGGATCAAACCCTCTTTGGTTTAACTACTGAACACTAGAAGCTTCACAAAGATGGTGCAGTTGCTACAAAAGTCCACGAGGTGAAGTGGATGGCAGAAGAACAGTCACACTAACACTTTTAATTATTAAAGACAGGTTATGCTGACAGAGATCTACTGTACAAAGCTTAAGGGAAACACTCACAGTTTTATTGTAGGGTAACCACGAACACCGAACTCTGATGCCATTCCTGAAACAAAGCAAACAAATATAAGATCCACCCCAAAAAACAGGCCTTGAGAAGCACGTTTCCCCTCAAAGGGTTTAAGTATTTTGTTGTCACCTTCAGGGGGAAACTGCTAGCCTTGCTTGTTACATGTGAACAGAGTGGGACTAGCTGCCAGGCTAAGCTAAGACAGCCGGCTGCTACCTGTCACTTTATATGTAATGGACCGATTTAAAGAGTGGTATCTTTCTAACGCTCCACTAGAATCAAATGATCCTATTTCACAAACAAATCCTTTATTAAAAACCTGTGGAAATTAAATAAGATGTCAGTCTGTCAATCAGTGTATTAAATGATATAGTCAGAACCCTTCACATGCTCATTTAGATCAATATGACATTTTTGTCTATCAGTCTACACTCAATGACCCATCACAACAAAGTGAAACCATATTTTAGGAGTTTTTGGACATTTATTAAAAGTCAAACACTGGTCTGATCACACCAGAGAATCTTTTTCCTGTTTTCAGAGTGCTTTAAACACTGTTTGTCAAACCTGGCATCTGTCTTGATACTCTACCAGAAAGGCCTGACTGATGGGGAGCTGCTGTGATGGTCTTATTTCTGGCAGGTTCCCCCATGTCTGCAGAGGACTTGTAAAGATTTGACCAAGCCCCTTCTTGCCCAGTTACGCAGTTTGGCATAATCCGGTTCTAGACACGTCAGGAATTAAAGTAAACAGGATCCATCGGACCACAATGTGGAGCGCTGAAGCAAAAGGTCTGAGTACTTCTGCAAATTACAGTTTTTAATTTTTAACAAACATACTTTCTGATGCCACTCTATGTGTCTATGAATAACTCCTAAGGCACAACCAGCTTAATTTACATCCAGAACATCGTGATATTGTTGTACAATCCTGTCAGTTAGACTGAGTAATCACACTAGCTCCAAATGAAGACATTAAACTGCTTCCTCATTTACTCACCAGAATAAGCAGTGGCATCCATCTTTCCTACACGGACCGGTGACCCAGACTTCTTCAGCTCAGCTCCCACCTCCTGCCATATTGGCTCTAATTTTTTACAGTAACCACACCACGGTGCATAGAACTGATAACAACAGGAAGAAGAAAGCAATCTTTAGATCATATCAACCTGCAAACTATAACATTATTTATATAGTAACTAACCACATAACTACATGTTCTGTATTCTTTACAAACTGAAGGTTTTGATCACACACATATCTCTGTACCATAACATGCTAAATTTTGTTGATACTAGGAGTATAAAAGCACACCAAACAAATGCGATACTACTAAATGTAACGACTTTCTGTCTCTATATATTACATCACCTAACTTGCTGCTTTGCTCATATCATACTTACTACACTCACTAGAGGTCACTAAACCATAATAAACAAGTGTTTGTGGTAATAACCTGCTGGTACAAATGGCCTATTGAGTTGTTTTTTACAGGAGGACAGTCTCATGAGAAAGACCGGGCCACCGTCTCCCTTCTCTCAACTAAACATGGCATGACTCGGGTGCTAACCCCCTATTAAACCCTCCGGAGGCTGCTTAGGGGAGGATCACGCACTGGGTCAGCTCTCTCCTGTTGGCGCTGATTTGTTTTGTTCCAGTGCCGGTGGCTTGAGGCAGCCTGGACTTATTACTTATTTATTCATTTATTCCTGTTCTCCGCACCTACTCATAGCTCACTGCCTGCCATTTATTTATTTATCTTTTATGATATTTAGTTTCTACCTCTTTCCTCATTTAACTTATATATTCTTCTTTGCAAACTGAGTAGAGTACACCCACATCACATACACCTTTATGTTCTTTTGTAAACATCTCGTTTCTATTTGTCTGTGTCCTAACCTGTTACTGTCCCATGTTGTGTTGCAATTTTTATAAAATGAGCACAAAAATTTGTGTATCTGAAATAGTTATAGTCTATAAAACCTGTTAAACAGTATGAATCTCTGCACTGTAAACTCCCCAGTGTATGAACTCCCTCCTGTATAATGCAAACTACAGCAGCAGTGAAAGCAGCTTTGGGTGCTAGAGCTAGACGTGCTTATACAGACACAAAGAAACTCTGATATGACCCGCTGCGAGCCATCCGGCTTTGTCCGGCATGCATGACTTCTCATTCACAAATCACAGAGGACAGCATGCACATGTCCACTAGCCCACCTACATCCCACCCAGCCTGGTATGTGTGCAAGTAATGTCAGACTTACATCAACCAGCCAGATGTCATTCACTCTGGTGTCTTTAAATCTGTAAGGAACGACAACAATTTTAATAATTCAGCCAATAGGTATTTTAAATCTTGATTAAATCTATTCCTTCTGAAATATTTTAAGCACAGAAAACCTTTCTTCTTTAGCAAACAAAAGTGAGAGCAACTTTGTTGTGTAAACACTGCGCATACATTATTTCAGGTGGGTTGTGGGAGAATAAACTGGTTCAGTGATCATATAATTAAAATTTGTAAGCTGTAAAAAGCCCCCAAATACAAAAAGAGAGGTTCCTACAAACAAAAATGCACAAAAAACATAATCAATTTCCACAACAGACAATTAAAAATGCTATACAACTTCTGATTCTGGGATGAAATCATGAATACCCCCATCCATTTTCAGTGGTAGAAACTAAATAAGTACATTTACTCAAGCACAGAACTTTAGTACAATTCTGAAGTACTTTGTATATTTACTCTATTATATTTTAGAGGAATCAGCAATACCAGTTGTCTATTTGTACAACATTTGTCTGAACTTTGCAAGTTAAATGTATGATCAACTAACAAAAGAAGGAGCCTAGCCTACTCTTACATGTTGCTGAAAATTCTTCTGCACAAAAGTACCTTTTTGATTGCCTCAATTTGTGAAAGAATACGTCCACACAATAATGATGCTACTTTTACTTAGTTAAACTGTGTGAACACTTCTTCCACTACTGTGGCACTACCCTAAACACATTGCTTGCATTGTAGCACACAACATTTGCAGCATACAAGTTGGGGAAAAGCCAAACTAGCATGTGCTTTCGGATGCTTGCCTCAGCTAAACTCTGACTTGCACAGAGAAAGTGTGGTTGCACACACGGAAACTGCATAACATGGTCAAGTTATAATGTGTCAGAGGCAGGAAGCTGAAACAGTGAAGCAGATCAGTCAGGAGTGCATCACTTACGTGTCATCTAGATCTTCAACCAAAGCAAGCACCGCTGAACTTAGACAAGCCGCTATAACTGTGATATTAAAAGAGACAAGAAATCAGACAAAGTGGGTGTTTATCTTAATATGAAAACGCACTTTCCAGTGTGTCTTCTCCAGCGTAAAACCTAATGACTGAAGCATCACCAGCTAAAGCTGTACTCCCAGCTAACTGAACATCTCTTTGTTCCACACTTTCAACGGCCACATCGTTAAGGGCAATTTTAACAGATGCTGTGATCACATGTGTAGCCTAGCGTTAAACTGTACAGAAAACAAAAATGACATACCTACAAAAATCAAGCAAGCCTTCACTTCTGCCATCGCTTCGAGTGGAAATAGAAACCAGGAAATGCAGCTGCTACATCGGGTCCTTTTGCGCATGCGCGCCGATACGAATGCTCCTGGAGGTTACAAGCACCACGAGCTGAAAAAAAGCACCACCAGCTGCATATTTATTTAACATTTTATTTGGAAAGATTTAATAGCCATTCGTTGTAATAGGAACTCAGAAGGTTGTTTGATGGCACTGTTGCTTCAAGAAGTTAATTATACATTAAAAATGAACTGGTTTAAACATTGACTGATGAACCAGATAAATTATTTTTCAATAAAGAATTACTCCAATATTATCTAGGTTTCATGAGCAATATAACAGCCAATTTTTATCTACAGTGTCGCTGCAAGGTATCTAATTTGGCCATCGGGGTCAACTTAGTGTCCCACTAAAGGACATGTGGAGAATGGGATTCGAACTGGCAGCCTTCCGGTTAGGGAACGACCACTCTGCCTCTTCAGGTACCGCCACAGCTGCGCCGATGTGACATCTGTGAGAGGTTCTTTTTAGTATATCAAATTAGAGTTTTTGATTTCAAGTTTGATCAGCTGTTTTATTTTATTACTTTGATTTGATAGTTGTTGTTTTTTTTTTGCACCAACTCAAGCACACAGTGTGTTGTTCCTGTGGTTGAAATGGTAGGCCAGCTGTTTTACAACACAGCTGCATATTTCTATTGTTATGCCTATTATTTTTTTTTTATAACTACTGCATTTTCTTTGAACGTTACTCGACAGCCAAATAAGAAATTATGTGCTAAATATGTTAGCACTTAGCAGGCCTATGTTTTATATTTCTAGATGTTTATTCATATATAAAAATAATGCACTATATTTAACTGGGAGGACTGTCGCTATGGAAAACACCACAAGGTGGCGCTCTAGCATAATGACAATGGGCAACACGCCAAACTCTTCTCCGTCTGTTGACCAGAGATGGAGCAAATTAACATCCTTTACCTGAGTAAAGGGAGGCGTACCATAAAAATACTTTATTACAAGTAAAGAAATGCATTTAAAATGTAGTTAAAGCGTTAAAAAGTAGTTCATTATGTAGGGAGAATGACCCTTATGCCAGCCTAATCATTTAAATTATCGAGGCTCCCAGCTTGATGTTTTGTCTTTTCTTCCAAATTTTTTGATTTGCTTCTGTCTTTCTTTGATAAAATGGTGATATGTACCAGCAAAGCACTGAATACTTAATACTGATCTTTGTGGTTCTGTTATTTGGAGTGCCCCTGTGTTGAAATCTATTTTTCAAGTCATGGTCCACCCACACCTTTGTCTTCACTTACAGTACATTGTTACCTGATTAGATGATTTTGTGTTTAAAAGATGAATTTGCAAATTAACTAGCTGTCTGTTAAAATGTATATATTTTAAATTACAATATTTCACAGTGAAATGAAATAAATACTCTGCAAATACCTTTATTCGATCCATTGTACTTATGTGATGTTCTGCAACTTCTGCTGAATGGCCCTATATGTTCTTACTAGTATGCATATTTACATAATCCTTTTCACACAAAAAACTCAACAAGAACATTTATTTTATTGAAAACATATTTATTTCTTTTGAGTGGCTTTGACAATCATAATTTGTATCTAACACTGTCTGAGTAGCTTAAAGGTTATCAAACATTCCACCACATACATTTCATTTTCAGGGTTTATAATTATCTTCATTCAATCCTTTTGACACACTTACACACCAAAAACATCTCACATTACACATGAGCAGAGAAACATGCAAAGCGTTACAAGGCATAAAATGTTAGCTTGACAGAGTGTGGATGGAGTTTACATATAAAATAAATAATATCTATACTGTAATATCTTCACATCATGTAGTTTTCTCCTCCTCTCACTGGCTGATGGTCATGATGATTCATTTCAAAGCCTCAGTGAAACTGGAGTACTGGCATCATCATGGCACTACATGAGCTCAGTACCATTTTAGTCATAACTTCATGGAAACTGTGGCCAAATATTTATAATGCACTGACTGCATAAGCTTACAAAGGACAGACAGAAGGCAAGTGCGGATCTAAAAAACTTAGGCAGGGGTGGCCAGGCTAGAGCACAGACTCAGAGAGGGGTGGAGCATTAGAAATGTACAAAAGTAAACCGAACCCCTAGCTCTATGAAGTAATAAGCCACACATTATTAAGAATCCAGCTGTTCATTCTGTGTAATAATGACATTGGCTGTGCTCCTTATTTACTCCTGACCAGGGACATTGCTGCTGGACAATGGTCCAGCGCATGCATGATATAAAATTTGACCAATTTTAATTTGAAATAATTTGGCCACTATCAATTAGAAAGCACCAGAAAAATGCTAGTTGTATTTAAGGCAATTATTCATCGTTTTTCATTCATTAATAGTGATAAGCACCACATTTTGACTCCCGCCCACATCTGCCCACGACAGAAGGGTGTTAACATTCTTTAATCTTTAAATAAGAAGTAATACAGGAAACATCAGATAGTTCTTTGCTGAGAAAATATGACCTTGCTATGAAATTAAAATTTCCTTTTTATTGTTACTTAAACATATTAATTAATTCCTTTATGTACGCAGGATTCCACAACATAATCCACGACTTGGAGAAAGACAAAAAAAACAACAACAAAAAAAAACAAAAACAAAACATGAAATAGTTTCACGCCTTGAGAAAGAGTTGTACTTTCTCATGGGTGATTAGCGTTCGTGACTGTGTTACTGAATAGACTCACACAGAGGACCGTCCTATTGAAATCTTCTGTGCCAAGTTTGTGAGGGCTGAATGCCTTTGTATTTAGAAGGGCAGAAAACTTGACACAAGCTGTTAGCCTACAATGCAAGGCAGCAATAATTTCTGCATTGACAAAACTGTCAAAACAAAGACTACAGGTGGACTTCCTTACTGTTAACCCTCCACAAGCATGTTTGCCTTTCAGGTGCATTCAAAACAAATGCAACACCCCACTGAGTTCCCCAGTTTCAGTTTCAGAAATAAATGTACCCTCTTTTTGTCGTGACGACCTATAAAACATACAGAAAGCATGAATTTCAAGCAAGGGTTGGCTTATTTCACACAGCTTTTCCTTTAGAAAGTCTTTAGTACACCAAGGCTGTTTGTCTTCTTTCAGTAAAAAGAGGATTTGTTCCCCTTTTGCAAGCCAAGCTGTGGACTCCCACATTCACCGAGACTGTAGTCAGCTGTCTGACTGCACCCACTCACGTCATCTCACAGAACAGATGACCTCAACTGACCCTTAACACAAAGCTTCCTTTGCCCCATTTAGATTAGATGGTAATTTCTTGTCTGATATATAAAAATATTTGTTTGTAACATAAACAACAGTACAAGCTATAATTACATTCAAATTTATTATTCTGACAAAACCTCATTTAAAAATCTCACCTACATCCAAAAAGGCAGCTTTAAGTTCTCACTTTGGACCGATTACTTTTTTGTTAATTTGAAAGTAAGAACCAAGTGAAACAGAATCCCATTTTGTACTGTGAAAAGTGTATTCATACCTTAAACCTCTCATGGTTTTTCAAAGTTTAACAGAATCAATTTCATTTATGCCAAATCTAGAGGTTTAAACTCCTATTGTTTTAAATCATTAAGCTCAGAGGTAGCTGACACTGAGAACCAATGCCTAGTTTCACATCTAGTTTCACCTTAGTACTCCTGACAAAGATCCTACTGCAGAGCAACCAAATTGTAGTTTTAAGCTTAGTGTATACACACACACACACACACACACACACACACACACACAGAAACTGTCTAAATGCTGGTGAAAACTGCACCATAAAAAAGATTACATGCAAAGTTTTATGACAGCTTCCTATATTCCCACAGGAATAAAACACCAGAGTGGTAATGCTGTGGATAACACTTAACGGAGCAATTTAAAGAAGAAAACAATAGGTTTTGCAAATGCATCATAAATCTCCTAGCATACCCGACCAATGTCATCATGGAGGTCCACTGGAGGGTACGTCTACACACAGTTAACGCTAAATATAAAACAGCTCATCCAAAAGGAAGTTATATTTAACAGTTCAATAAAGTTGATTTTGCTTTTTCTAATAGTCAATGTGGAGTCTTTGCCGCTCTGGTTGCAGGCACACTCCAAACCACAGATAGTGATGCATTAAACTTCATGTATTAAAGTGGCCATGCAGCATCTTTCGAAACATTGCTGAGGACTCTGACCATCCAACGAGGCTGCCACAGGATGTGTTACATCGCCTGACAGCCCTGTGCAGTCAGTTGGACAACTTATCTAGCTCATTTAAATTTTTGATAGGTGCATTATTTAGCTTTTGGTAGACTTGTGTAAGGGTCTGGGTGAGGCACACTGGTGATGTCATATAAAGTGGTGCTGCTGTTGCATCCTTTCTGTACTGTGGTGCATATGGTACACCTGTCCGACTCCAAAATGGCTACAGGAATTTTAAGCGACCTTTGAGAATACTACACTGCTTTGCCCGGTTCCTCTAAAGAGAACATATTCCTTAGTGATAACATCAGATGTCCATCGATATCAAAAATCTTCCTCATTCCAGGATGTCAGTCTCAAATGGGACCAGGTGATAGTAGGAAAGGTTGGTGACATATGCTTCTGTCTCCTCACCACACACATCGGCCTCCACTGGCAAAACCTCTGTATCATCATCATATCTGTCAATAAAATGAAAGACACATTACTCCAAAAACAGGACATACATACCATAGTTTGCCTTTGATTTAAGGTCTTGTGTTAATGGACTTCATAAACCCACAGATATTTTATTTTCCAGTACAAGGTCAGAGCATTGCAGTAGTAAAAACTTTTAGCTATTCAGGAGTGACATAAAGTCTTGTTTTGTGTGAAATACCAGGAGGAATGTGTTCCTCTTTTGCTTCCTACACACACCCAGGGAAGGAAGAGGTGCACAAACACACTTCCTGTGGTGTATGCAGGGAGGTAGAGGTATGGTTCACATTCTCCTTCACTTATCAAAACACTTACTGTACACTCAAGAGCAAACATGGAAATCCTTACTGTACACATGTGGGAAAACAAGCAAGGAATGCGTTAAATTTCAACTAGCTTGCAGTTTCATTGACTCACTCATGGTATTTTGTGATGTTTCTGGAATTGATCTTAAAGAGTAATTTAAGGAAAGGGGGGTATGTTAGACGTTAATACAGGACATATTTCAGAGTGGCCTTAATACACACGTATGTTCTGCAGAGTCGGTGGATGAAGGTCTCTCTTTTTCCTCCAGGATATTGTGATCAAATACAATGGTTTCTGTATTGGCCAGACAGAATCCATTCGACCGCATAATTTCTGAAAGGTACAGAGTGCAATAAACTGTCACCCACTGAGTCACCATGACATTAGGGACATCAATCATAGATCTATCTTTTTGTTGCACAACATTTGATTAGACATGTACCTGATATCTTGACTGGACTCTGAAAGCATGGCTGGATTCTGTGGACTTTGTCATTCCTCAGCACCTGATCCAGCGGTGACCTCTCAAAGAATGTCAACATCACCTCTGACCTGGAGTACTGCAGCAGGAGGTTGTAAGTAAAGTCTTCTTACGTGGCATGGTAATGAAATGGTATTGAATGTAGCTGTTTTATAGGTAACTGAGTGACCTACTTTGCATGGCATGTTGATGGCATTCTTCAGTAGTCTTTCCACCTCGTTCAGCTTCTGCTCAATGTCGTTTGCTTCTTTGATTTTTACCAGCCCTGAAACAAGCACATATATGAAGTACTGACACCTGAAGACACTGGTTGTTATATAATGGGTTTCAGAAATGTTGTTGAAAATGTAAAGTTTACCAGATTATTTAGACACATACTGTATGCTTAATGAAATTCCTTACAACTGGTCGCCAGTTAAGTCCTATCTTTGTGTGTTTTATTGTTAAAAGGTCAGAGAGATTCTACTCTAGATGGTAAATTTTAGTGATGCATTAGATTTTAGCATCCTAAAACACTAAACTAAGATGGTGAACATGGTAAATATTATACCTTCTAAGCAATGTCATTGTGAGCATGTTAGCCTTATAGAGCTGCCAACATAACTGTGGACCCTACTAAAGATCTAATGTTTTTAGATTGCATTATAATGAAGAGTTTTTAAATCTTTTATCCACCTCCAATGCCTCAAAACATATTGGAATCCAATAGAAAACATCCATTAACTATGAAAAAATATTTAGCCATTCAGTAACAGAGTCTGATGTACAGAAAACATTCCCACAATCAAAACTTGAAGTGCGACTATTTCCGTACTGTGATGTTTAAAAAAGGGCAGCTGCCATCGTACTGTAATCTTTCCATAGGTCAAGACACAAAAACCCACACAGTTCTTAATTTAGTTCTTGAAAAAGACACATGTGAGAGAAATTAGCCTTTTTATTAACAATGCCCCCTGATATTTATCCCAAGTAGGAGGAGGACAATATAGACTACTTATAACTGTCTTTAGAACAAAAACATACTATTAAACTGCCAGCAATGATGACAAAGGAAAGTAATAACAGTTGGCAGAGAGGCTTTAGTACCATATCAGTGATAACATTTTAATCCTGCAGAAAACTAGGAGTGTAACTGAAGAGGTGGTAGGAGTGTAAAATCTGCACTTTAGCAACACAAGGCTTATGTGAGCCAGTAGTGAAAGCATTATTTACTGCCATGTTGGCAAAGAGATGTGGGGAAGAGAATAATGAAGAAGGCTGTAGCCACACTGGTGTCTGATGTCAGTGCTACAGACAAAACACAGTCACACAGTGGTGGAAGCACAGAGTAAGAAAGCCTAAGGCAACACCGTACACAGGCGCAGTCACGTCCATTTATAATGACATCATATCCAAGGGGGTGTGAAGAGTGAGTGGGGAGTTAAATCATCACCATGAACCCAGTGAGACTCAGCCTGAAGCTCAAACTGCCTCCACATCATCATCTTTTGTTTAATCCATCCCCTTTAAGATAAGTTCAAACCAAATAGGTTTTAGGGATTGTGACAAACCTTTTGGGAAATACGTGAAACATTTACATCATCATTACACCCTAAGACCAAAACAAGTTATTCAAATGTTAGCAGTAATACAAGGCAGAGCAACATATCAATGGAGAAAAATACTAAAGGCTAAAAGGCTAAAAATGAAAAAAGGCAGAAGTGTTCCTGCCGTTGTGAGAAACCCCTAGGACACAGCTAAAAACTTAATAACCATCTTGTTGACAGTTCATAGTATTTTATGAGATGACTCATTCTGATGATCACTTTGATAATTTGTTGTTAATGCCCTTGAGAAGCTACAAGTCTGTGTCAGGTAACAAAAACCTAGTGATAACTTGAAACCATACTCAGCTTACTCTTGTAAAGAAATGAGTCATGTTTATTACAGTATGTGCCGCCATGTACAGAGTCAGCGTTGTGCAAACAAGTGCACAGTGCAGTATTTATTATGAGACATGATCAGGGGGCATGTAAACAGTAATAACCAGCCATCTAATCCCTATTAAAAGCAGCTTTCTCCACCATAACACAATGGCAGTTTGGTGATGGACTGGAACGTTTGGAGCAGCGTTCCCCAAGAGGAAAGTCTTCTGGGTTGCAAGTGCAAATATACGCTGCCAGGGGGAGGCTGCATCTCGTCTATACATTAGTGGACATATTAGAAGTTCACTGTGGTTTCTGTGTGTGAGGATGTGCAGCTTTCTGCAGATTTATTTACTAATTATGAATAAAACTGTAGAGCAATAAAATCATGATTGAGATCACATTTAAGATTTTTCTGTCTACACACACCAATAATGGCAAAAGTATTCTAGTATTTGTATGTTATTGCCTCAACACTCCTGATTATTCATACTGCAGAAACCATCAGGCTGTGCAGAGTATAAAGTTGTAACAGGCCTGTCGGTGGTGAAAAGAGAAGTATTTTCGCAAAAGCTTCGTGCGGGCTGTGCAAGATTTAATCAAGCAAATCGCAGTGAACACAGCGTATGTAGTAGCAGTTTGACGAGGTAGTTATTCCATTTAGAGGATGCAGATTCAATATATACCATACACTCAACCTCAAAGCTCCTTCTGCTGCATTATTAGAAAGTCTACAGTTCAAAGAATGCATCATGAAACTGAAACACCAAAAGTTGAGTTAAAAAAATTTGGGTGAATTTGGAGATGACTTCTGAAAATAGCACTGAAGGTGAAGGTGCACTGTTGCAGATGGGCAGCACAAAATGCAACCAGTCCTGACACCAAAACTGCAGTGCTCCACTCTCCTGTCCTTGAAATGTCGCACACGATCAATCACCAAAACACCAAACAGGTGTCAGTGAGGAAAACAACAACGCTGTGTCTCAGGAGACTTCCCCCGAGGAACATTAATGTCAACTAACCTGTGATTTGCTATGTTTGTTACAAATACAGGGTGGTCCTCTGGAAAATATCTTCACAGAAAGTGACACAAAAATCAGCCATGTTTTTTCCTACTATGGTACCCAAGTGTATTTCCTCCAGTTTCTTATAAAATAGTGTGTTCCAGGCTACAGTGGTCACTGTTATAGGTAATTATTAAACATTTTCTGGCTTAATTAATGTGGTTTTAATAAGGCTCATACTCCAACAAGAAGGAAGTGCTTTTGGTTGTTTTTTAATAACTTTCACTCTTGATCATCTCCGTTTTGGTGTAAGTGTATACATAATGTAACAAGATGGTTAACTCCACCAGTAATTATATAGACACCATATGACATTTAGTGTATGTGCCTGCCTTATATTTGTTTGCAATTACACACTAAAGTTACCCAACTGTTAGTTCAGTGACAAGCCATTTAGCGTATTAACTGAAATAACACAGTAGAAGTACAACAGCAGGCGTACGAGTCAATCTCTAACAAATGATCAAAACAGCCATCAGATGCTGCAAGCGATGGCTACCTCACAGCTGCGTGCTGTGGATCCGGGAAGCATGTGTCAGCAGCTTAACTACATCGTCTAACCACTAACGCTTTGCAGTTTCATCAACATGCTACTTCTGTTTGCCTCAGTCAACAAGCAGAAAAGCATCCATGTCAATGAGGATGTCAGTGTGATTACTAAGAAACATGATGGTGCATAATCTTCCAAGAGTAAACTACTGAGTATTTCTTACAAAGGGGATAGTGAGTGAGTCTAAGTGGGAGTGATTTCAGTTTGTGTCAAACACTCCTCTGCGATATGTGGCTCACATGGAATGTGAGCAATCACTTCCTGTCACATACACTGTAATGTTGTGTTACGCGGCCTTTGCAGACCAGAGGGACTAAATATGGAAAGTCCACTCCTCTCCCAGTCACCCCCCTCCCCCTGTCCTCATGACATAAGTCTGCAAAACTCTGTAGGCCTTCCTTGTTACCTAGGCACAACAGAGAAGCAGGAAAATATGAGCAGAGCTAGAAACTCGAGTGAAGTGAACTGATAACGACCAGAAATATCTTTTCAATCTGAGGTGCAACTAGAACAAATGCAAATTCTGAACAGAGATAGGAATTAAGGAAAGGCCATTAGAGGAGTGTTATTAAAGCATGTGGCTGCTATACATCAGTGAAACTGTCAAACCAGGTTGAGTCACTTAGTAATGCTGATGTCTGGTTCAGCACCGATATCACAGCCACATTTACCTTTTAGCTATAATCAAGTAAAAAGTTTTCAAGAAGTGAACAGTGGGTCATGAGAACTGAATTGTCATTTCCCAAAATGCACTGCACTGGCAAAGCTGTCAACAACTCTGTCAGCTAATTCTGTGCCTGAGCAGGAAGCAAAGTTTTCCAATTACCACAAAAAGGATGTTTCCAAAACATTTGTATAGGCTCAGTACAACAGAGACCAAAAGAAAGTGCCAAGGAGGCTGTGTGGGGAGATCATACACACAAAACAAGCTGGGACTTTGGCCAAAACCACTGGCAAGTTCCATACCCTGAGGGCCAGAACTTCACACTACATACAGTATGTATGTTTGGAAAAACACAGGCCTTTCCAAAGCACTGAGTAAAACTTTACCAGACAGGACCAGCAGAATATATCACAGCACCTTTTCATTAAATTTTAACTTGGATTTTTAAGGATTTGCTCAAAATGAAGTATTAGCAAAGCTTTAAGAGCAAGGAATCAAACATCTTAACATATTTCAAAATATCTGAAGACATTTTATATGAGGCACCTAAAAATCATTTTGCCACAATGACCAGTGAAAAGCATGTCTCAAAATATCGACTTTCCATAAGAAAAACAAATATGTATTTAGCTTTGTGGCTGCAATTGGTTTTTAAATGATTTATGTGATATAAGAAACAGAAGAATCTTCTCAGCATACAAAGGGAAATGTAACGCTATGTTTTCAGATTAAAAAAAATCAAAAATCACCAATTTTAAAATGATAGGTTTTTGGTATGACATGTAAATGTGTAACTGGTAGTCTGACAAGGAGCAACATAATGTCCTTCCTGTGTGCTTCCTTCTCACGCCGAGGACCTCTGTAACATATAGAAATAGACGCATTGTACTGTCCCCAGAAGTAGCTGCCTCAATAGCCCAGCTAAACCCACTCATTCTAAAAAGTTGTGGCAGTCAGGTATCAAGAGCAAATTTCCACCTAAAACAGGCTGTCAGCATGTTGGACTTGTAGCCTAGGCTATGTGCTAAGTCTGATAAAGTGACATCCCAGGGCGGATTTGGTTAATTATTGAACTACCCAAACAAAAGCATGTCAATCCAGGTATTGAAGCAGTTTAGCCTAACCTATCCCTAAAACCTGGGTTCAGGCTAGGTTCATACATGTAGATCAAACTTTGGGCTAGCAGCTGGAACACTCAAATGTCTGTGTTATTTAATGATAAAGGGGAAAAACCTGTACAAAAATCAACTGTGTCGGGCTCGGGTTGGGTTCAGACAGAAATATGCAGCCTGATTCATGCTCTAATATATTTATAATGCAGTAATTGGAGAATGATTTTAGTGTTAACTATTTTAATTATCAGTTGATCAACAGAAACCAAATTCATTAAAGTTATGGCATCTCAAATGAGAGCTTTTGTCAACTTTTATCTGACTGTACTGAAAATTTTTGTGGATATGGTCGGAGAGAACAGGCAATCCAAAGACCAGATCTGATAAAAATTTGTTGTGCATGCTTCAGAATTTTTAAAAAAGTGCAGCTGAAGAGAAAGCTGAGGTACCACAGAGCCCCGTGCATCGGGCCCTATGATTTGTGGATACGACCCTGATATTAATTTTACCCTAAAAATATAGGCCTACTGACGTCACAAACAGCCTATTTATATTTGTGATACTCATGCTCCACAGTCATTGCTCGTCATATCATATTCTACTATCCTACTTTCATGCCTACCTTCTATTAGTGGAGACTGGGACAGGTCTCGTCTGTCCTCAGGAAAGGACTCTATCAGTCTTTTAAACAGCCGCCCCAGATCGGAATAACTCCGATGCAAGTATAAAATGTTCCTGTCAGACCACTCAGTCCTGATCTCGAAAAACTCTTCTTCCTCGCCCCGCTGGCTGATAATAAGTCTCCGGATCCCGTTGACCCAGCAGTCCCGGACAAACATGTTGACCAGCGATGTCCCTTCAAACACAGCCGATGCCATTCCTCAGACGTCAGTCCAGCATGCTGGGGCGGGCCGGAGGACAGCAGACTGAAGGCTGGACGAGTCTGGGCCGCAGAAATCGGAAAACACAAATGGCAAACAAGGAAAAACAACTTCTGCAACTTTGCAGCCAGTCCGCTCGCAGCGGTCTAGCAGCAGCTGTGCGTCTGCGGGAGGAGGGTGGTCATTACAGGCGTGATCTCAAACGTGGCATGATTGGGGGAAAAAAGAAAAGACTTTTAAAGTCAAAGATAATGTCACCGCAAATTTTGGCAGTATCGGTCCAACTGTTCATTTTCTCCTGTCATTCTTCGCAAGACGTGCGAAATAGTTTCAAAGAATTTTCTTCTGTCACAATAAAGCGGTCGCCCTCTTCTCGCCCGTTTCCACTTAACATTTCGCTTCACACTGTACAAGCAGTTGGCTTTCTTTCAGCTCTGCTTCCTCCTCTGTACCTCCTTCCTTCCTCTCTCTTAGACACCAGGGTACTATGATGCTAAGAATGCAACAGCAAGAGCAAAACTGTCAATCCCTGTAGCGTTTTTATAATTAGGAGAGGAAAAGTTCAACCACTGGCTTAAATAAGGTCAGCAGCTCAGTCTGGAATTAGATCTTTGGAAATAACCACAGGAAAAATATGAAAAGTCTATAAAGTAACGGTTTTAGCCCATATTTAGCCACAGCAAAAAGATGCACTGTAGCCTATTGTTTGTCTCCTGTCAGGGTGACCATTGCTCCACTGAAAGCACACTAATGTTTCACAAAGATGAGAGGCAATAAAAGGAGCTTTACAGGAAGTGGCCAAGTCAAGTAATGACAGTTCAGCTGTAATTAACTACTGCCATGTGAGAAAGGGATTGTAAGCACTTCTGGTAAAAGCAATTCATGACAATATGATGCAGGAAGAATGCAAGTAAACACAATCTGTAAAACATAACCCCACTCTAAATGCAAAAAATAAACAAATACAAATCTGTGCAAAATGTTTCAGATCAGAGAAAGCAATCCTGCACTAAAGGGCACATTACATTTTAGAGCGAATGGCTGGTGCAAAATATTGCAACTGTGCATTGACATAGTAGGTTTTTCAGCCTCCCTATGGTAAATATAAAATTAGAAGCTCAGAAATATAGGCAGTCAGAAAAGTATTACAATTTCAATTTGCCACATTTTTCTATTCAGCTTCTCCTGTTGCATCTGCTGTCTGCATAGAAAAGATGCTGCTACAGAAATTGGAATATTCTGAGTGGATTCCTGCTTCACTGGAAGTTCCACGATCAAAAATGTCATGTTATCTCCCTGTAATTTTCAGCTTTATGTCAGTTGTCTTGGTAGTACAGTGGAATTTCATAATCAGTGGTAATGATGACCTAATAATACTGTACCTCCTGTGTCTGTTCTTATGGTGGTGACTGTTATTCAAAATAGAGATGAAACTGTGTAATGAAAAAAAACTAAATCTTTCTTTGTGAAAACATCATAATACACCAGCTGATTGTGACCCAGGGACCATCACTGTGACTAAGAAGTAACCTGAGGACTGTTGTGTGGCAGACTGACTGGATGGCCACTATTTTAATCCTGAAAGTCAATCAATAATTAATAGTAAGTGTATTTATATAACATCTTTCTAGATCAATAATCACAATGTGCTTCACACAAAAGTTTAAAAAAGCAAAGAGGAAAATGTGGTAAATGAATGAATCAGACACTTGCAATATGTTCACGGACCACCAGTGAGCTGCAGACCACCTGTTGAAACCCCCTATAACAGGCTAATACAAACAAGCATTCAGTGTCATTTTGGAGCAGTTAAATGAATGACATTCTCACACTCAGTGTTTTGTGGTATTTTAATCTCCATTGACTTCAGTAAAGCATATTAAATATGGAAAATGAAAACATAAATGTTATGGAGAATGCAATCATCTAGTCACTCATCTTTGTTTATAAAAAGAGCCGAATTATATTACATGGAACTCCCTCAGATATTCCTGTGCATGCAGCGCCAGCCATCACAACAGGAGAAATTGTACAGTGGGAAGAAAATCACTGTGATGAGCTATAATAACAACTTGTAAAAATAATAATTTGCTCTCTGGTCTGCACTGAATGTTGCACTGTCATGTTATGGTTGAGTTGTTGTGTTATACAGGCCTTTTACAGAAGCAGAGCTGAATCATCCTCGAATGAAAAAACTTAACTATCCATCTCCTTTACTTGCGCAAAGGCCCAGCCACTGATAGACAGTGTGGTACATAGGGTTAGGTTTTATACTTGGACTGGGTTTAACCACAGCAGGCAAAGCTGAAGAAGTCAGTTTGATTCACATCAGACTGACTTCTAGAGAGAGAGAGAGGGAGAGAGAGAGAACCAAAAAGCAAATGCCTTGAATAAACAAAAAATGAAGTCTGACAACTTAAAGCCAGGGCTTTGGTCTGTGGTTTGGCCTCATTTACAGAGTCAGCACATTCTGTCTCAGTATCTTATTCCAGTATAATTCCTCTGAAAGTATAAACTACATGGAAAAAGAGGCTTTTGCCCACTTCATCCTCAAAGCCCCTTCTGCTGCAGAATTCTACACACATTTGTCTCCCATTTCAACAAAGGCAAAACCAAAGCTCTGTGGAGGAAACTTAAGACAGCAGGAGGAATTGTTAAGGGTTTGGTTTGTCTGGTGGGGGGCTGATGTGGCCCCAGTTTGTTTGGTGTGTGCTCAAATGTGATCATAGGATAGAAAGATGTGAAAAAAAAACTCCAAACTGAGAAGGCATTTTGCTACTCTGCACTTTTAAAGGGCTAATTTAGGATTAGCAGTTGGGTTTAGGTTTAAAAACAAAAGTTTACATGATTCTGGGGTTAGCAATGTTAATTTAGCATAAGGATGCATTCTGGATTAGCTCATGCAGAGTCTGGTTCACAGGGGAAAGACCGGACAATACCAGCAACTGCTAAATTATCCATCGCATTTTTGGTCACACAGCTTTACAGGGAAATAGAAGGATCTCAAAACCATCTTCCTCATCTTATAGCCACATTGTCAAGATCCTGTAGCAATGCCAGAGCAGCCATCTTTATACATATACCCATTAGACACAGCTATTCATAGATCACTATAATTTACAAGCTTATTGTTAGGCTAATGATGTCTCAATCATCAATAAACAAAAATGAATTAACAGTAATATCAGCAGTTTACAGAATATTTTTAAATGAAAAATTTACATCAACTGATGGTGTTAACACAGGTGTATCCATTCAAGCTTGAACTAACAGCCCGGTCTGCCCCACCCCCCAAAAAACAAGCGTTCTATCATTAAAATTACTGGCGATGACAATAGTAAAATGCTCTGCAGTTTTACAGTCCCTCTGCTCCAGTTGCTCCCAGGGAATGACAATGTAAAACTGCTTCCTCGATCCTTTTCTTTTTTAAGCAAACATAAATTTTAAATTTCAACCAGGCCATATGCTTAGGTCATGCTCCCAAACGTTCTTCTTTACTCCCTTGTAAATCGTACGTCAGCCCCTATTCTCTCAGAAAGCCAAATATCAGAGACTCGTAAAGCTGTTGAAACAGGAAGAGAAAAGAAAAACAAAGATGGACACATCTGTCAGGGAACAAAGAACATCTGCGCTGATGGAAACAGCCATTGCCTTTTCACCGAGCTGTGGCAGAACTGCACTGGGTGGAAGTTGTTCATGACTCTGTCATTGTCCAGCCCAGAAGACAAAACCCGATGAAGAACACAGGTTCTGGGGTGACAGTGGTTTAGCACACTGTTTCAGTGTATTTAACAGGCTCTATAATGGACTGTGGCCGTTCTCACTGAGCATCTATACCCCTGGTTTCCCCTAGACTCCAGTCTTTATGCTAAACCAGAGTAACCCTCTTTTGGCTCCAGTCTGAGGTATAGATTTTCTTATGCAACAAAACATCTGTTTCCCAAAACTTCAAACTATTCTTTTATACTAGTGTAGCAGAATAGTTCCTTGTTGTTTTAAGTAAATACAATAGAATTGTAGGTTAAAAAAAATAAAAGTAAACATTGTACAAGCATAGAAGCACAGGCTTTGTCTTTACAAAACACACAACATTATAAATCATAAACTGTATGACACACAGCAAGACAGTCTCTTCTCCAGAGTGCACAGTAGTGTGCAACAGTCACCACAAACTCAGAATCAGAATCAGCTTTATTGGCCAGGCATGGTAGACATGAGGAATTTGACTCTGGTACAGCAGCTCTCAATGTGCATGTACATATCCCCATGCAAGGCAACAGCAAGGAGCAAGTAAACAATATATCAACATAAGGCTGGGTAGTACAACAAGATAAACAATGCAAAATAAACAGGCAATAAACAATACAAACAGGCAAAGGAATGTTCATTAGGAAGTGAGATAAAAAAAATAGAGTACTCAAAAATAGAGACCTGTGTGGATCTGTATAATCTATATTTACAGGTATTGCACTGAAGGTTATTGTCCAGTCAAACTGTTGTGGGTTAAGTGTTCATCAGAGTGACGGCTCGGGGGAAGAAACTGTCCTTGTGCCTGCTTGTCTTGGTGCACAGTGACCTGTAACACTGTCCAAAGGGGAGGAGTTCAAACAGATTGTGTCCCGGGTGTGAGGGGTCTGCAGAAAACTGTGAAGCCCCATGATTTACTAGTCACGCTGGGACACAGGTCTGAACTAATGGAATATCTAATGTCTCCATGATTGACACTTTAATCTGTGGCGAGACCTCCAGCTTGCAACCTGGCCATATAAATCTGACATACACTGTGCAGCAGAAGGTTTGGTCTCTGAATTACAGCTCTACATCCTCCACGTATTCACGTGGATTTATAGCAGACAAGCCTCTGCAAAAACTGATCGCATTAGATTTTACATAGATTACTCAAAGGAAATTATTTTAATTCATAGTATAGCCGACACCAAATAAAATATCAATAAAACACATCATGTGACACCACCTGCAGGACCATTGTCTGGCAGAAGCACTCTGACCGTCTGCCAGGACGTCAACATCAATGCTGTTGTGTCCACACGCCTCCACTGCTTTCACACTGCTGTAAATAAACCACCACAGGTGTCTCACAATAACAAAATTTATTGCCACATATAAAACTGTCAAGTGTGGATAATAACCACCCCTTGAATGCTTTTGGATCCTTGAACGTCACGCGTTAGAAACTGCTGCTTACATTTTAGGCTACACTTCTTTGCCTGACAAGTTTCATTCATGCTGGTTTAAAAAGATATTTGTTATTTTAAGTTAATATTCACATTTTGTGGTTTCCCTTCTGGAAAGGATTAACATTTCTAAAGGCAAAGAACAATAACACACTTGCAACTTTCTCATCCATCATACATATAAAGTAATGAAATAGACTATAGTTGTAGCCCAAGAGTAAGCTAGAAGATTTGCTGTCCATGGAGCCAGGTGCTTTCACACATACATTTTAGTGCACCAACACACACACACACACACACACACACCTGTCAAGCACAAGAATTCAGTTCTCTTGATTATAATGTCCTGTAGAGTATGGTCCGTCTTACCATTGCTAACTCTGAGAGACGAGACAGTCCAAGTAACTTCAAAACAGTGCTGATTTATTCAAAGGATCACAGGTAAAATTAACATTACACACTCAGGTATCTTGCACCTCCATCCTGCACGCAGGCAGATGTAAGATGAAAGACCCCGAACCCACCAGGCCTATACATTATATCCCCTCGGTTGGGCTAGCCCCATACTACACAGAAACGTCAACCGGGACGTCTCTGTTGCCAGCTTTGCAGCTGGCCATAGCAGTAGTCAAAACATGAAGCAAATCAATGTGTGAATGTGTGTGTCTGTTGGTTAAGTGGTGTGTAACTAAAAACATTCTCACGACCTCTAGTACATGTTGTGACTTGAACATAAGAACATATTATGGCTAAGGCTACAGTTATACACATCATAATAATAATATTAAACATCCTGTCTGCTGACAGTCATCAACTCTTCTCTCTAGTATCCTTGACCAGATGTACCCTGTAGAAACTCATAAGCATGCCTAAGCATTTAACAGTCTAACTAGACATCCTATCTCCACTAAACATTTCTAATACATAAAGTATCTATCCAATACCTATCTGACTAAAAATACCTAACAGTCCTTAGATACAAAAAAAGCATTGCCCCCAGATGAGCTGCAGATGTTTGCTAAAATGCTACACTGGAGAGGAAATTTAAATCAAACATTCATCTGATATTTTTGATGAACATACCAATAGTTTACAACCTCATATGGGGTGCATGTGAGGCTCTCCACAGTGATCCACTAATTGACTTATAGGGCCACCTAGTGGTACAGATTGGTATATACACAAGCTCTTAGAGTCTGCACTCTGATGTTTTCTATCGCTTTTTGTAGACTACTTGGTTGTCTCTCCAAGGCACCTGAAGCTTTGGGTGCAGTAGATCAGTATGTAACACGGCATGCTTGTAGCTTAAGTTAGGTCTGAACACTGGTAGTTATATGCATGTTCTAATTATTTTACGATTTCTTTTCAGATGTCAGTGACTCTGCCGCCCCCCCACCACCACACCCCACCCACTCACCCACCTTTTCCCCATAATGTGCAAATTTACCATAGGGATATCTTTTGTAAGGTTTCAAAACCCATCCAAAAACATACTAGAGGCCAGCATGAATGAGCCTAATGGGCACAGGCACATTTTCTGTTTGAGGTGAAGGTTAACATTTCTTGTTGGAAAGGCAAATGATTTTTAAAAAGTCACAAAGAGAGAGATAAAACTATTATAAAAGAGATGCAAGTTGCATCTGTAAGGGGAACCCCGCTTCCAACCTTCCCTGGGTAGGCTAATCCTCGTATTGCACGTCATAACGCAATGAACTGTCGGGAATTCCCTCAGATAAAGTCTGCAATAATGCAGACTTACAGAAAGTGAGCATAAAGGGCTCAAAATGAAGCCAGAGAGAACTCGTGCACTTGACGTTTTCAGTGGGACAGCCCTGAACCCTCGCTACCTCAGCGGGAGCGCGCCTCAAAGTCCGTGAACGTGGACACTGGGATTGAGGGACAAGACACGTGAAGGAGTTGGGGGGGCCTTTTACATGACTGCACCATACCTTCATGAGACGAAGCATAAAAATTATAGACTGCAGTGCGCCGCCAGTACAACAGAGGGCATGCCAGTACTTCGTTACCTTTGCACTTCTGAGGTCACAGTGATCAAAAAAGAAAAGAGCCTACAGCTGAGGAAAATGGCGGACGTTGAGATGGATATGGCATCTAGAAGAATGAATAATGGCAATGAACACGTGTAAGTCATGTAGTTTAAGATAAGAAGTTCGTGATAATGAAGAGTAAGTAATTAGCAATCCAAATTCAAATGGAAGCTGTTCTCTAAGGCAGAACTACGGAAGCTAACAGTACCGGGTTCACGTTATTGCCGGGGCAAGCTAAATTTCATACCAGCGGCTGGCTAATGTTCTTTAGCTCACCTAGCATTACCTTCGCCTGTGTAAACGCGTAACATAAATAACTGTACCTGTACCGCAATATTGCGCATTTTCTTCAACAAGATGTACGTGTCAGACCACATACAGTCAAATATTGGTATTTGGTAGGAAGAAATGGTCCTGTACTGTGACGTTAGAGTAACGTTAGTTAGCTTAGCGAGGAACTACATAACGCTCAGTTTGCTAAGAATGGTTAGCATATCCGAGCTAACGGGCGAAAATCTTGGCAGACGTGTTCGGAGAAAGAGGAAACAGCTGACGTTTACATGGAGATAAATGTTGTCAAGCAAAATACGTACATTTCTATGTCTAAATTAAAATAACGGTTTGGGTCTTTATTTTCTTACGTTACTTAGTATTACTGCAGTCTTTAGCCAGACTGAGCACATTACGTAACTGTGATTTACCTTTAATGTTATCCACCGAGAAACTATAGACCATTCCACTCTGTGTTGTATATTTAAATTTTAAAGGGATTTGAGTACTGTACAGAAATCCTGGGGTAGCAATTATAACTTAAGGTCTTCTTGGGTAAGTTTCTGTAAGCTCTACACACCTGGATTTGGGTAGTTTGTTCCGTTCTTCCTGGCAGATCCTCTATGAACTCAAAACTTATTGTAGAGTTTGCGCTCTTAAATCCAAGTCAATCGGAAAGTGGTGTCAGGTGCGGGTGGACAAAACCAACATGTTACATACATAGAAAAACAGCCCACACACCAATAAAGAGGCTCTTCAGATACCAAAATGTAAAAGGTGAACAGTGAAAAATTATAAATATAAGTGAATGCTGTAATCAACAGAACATCGTCAACACAGCTTACAAACCCTGTAATTCTTTAGACGTAAATAAATAAATTACCGGTTAGGACAGAAGAAGCCCGGATAACAAGGTGTTTAACATGAACCCATTAACCACTTAGGTTTGATCACACAACCTGCATTGTGGACTAAATATTAAAACTGACTAAGTGAGGTTAAGCAAGATGTAAATCCTATATATGATGATAATATACACACACAGGTATTAAAAAAAACACCCAAAGAAAATATATATTTGCCAGCCACAATTCTTCATTAAGAGTAAGTTCTGATGATAGTGGTGTATTGACTGTATCCTCTTACACATAAAATAAATGTATATATGTTTGTTGTCTGAAGAGCCTCTGTGCTGCTTTTTCAGGGTACAGGCAGTTTTTCTGCGTATGTGACAAGTGTCTGAACTGCCATCTCCAGGTCTCTCCACAGAAGATCTGTGGGTTTTGAGTCTGGGCTTTGGCTGGGCCACTCAGTGACAGTCAGAAGCTTGTTGTGAAGCCACTCTAGTGTTGTCTTGGTTGTATGCTTCAGGTCATTATCATGCTAAAAGGTCAACCATCACCCCAGGCTTAGGTCATGACCAACCAGGACAGGTTCTCTCTCTGTAGGAGCTGCTTGTTAACTTAATTTTACATCTCCTTGTGAGACCCATCACCTTTGTTCCGTCATCATCATGGACATCTCGGTTCCTTTATCTCTGTTCTGGGAAGTGAGGCATCTGTGTGGAGCAGACATGACCAAGGACATAAGAGACCATCTGCTTTTGTTCATTTTCAGTTTTTCCCAGTTGTATGATGTAGTAAACTAAATATATTTGGGTTTTGGGCAGTTGAATTTTTTTTAAAGTTATTTTATCTTTAACTCTGGTAAATTATGTTTTTAATTTTTTTTCTTCTGTTTTTATGCCAAAACAACCAAGTAATAAAATAACTGTTTGTTGTAACACTATTTAGTTTAGCTTATTAAAAAGTAAACATTGAGACATGGCAAAACATCCCAGAGATTTGTTTTTGTGTTCAAATGATTTGTTTTGGCCAACTAACCAAATGGCAAATTTACAGTTACTTATAAATGGAGAAATTTTAAATTTCCTAACATTTGTCAAACACAAAACCAGTTAATATATGACGTCTTTCCTTAATAAATGACAGCTGATTTGTCAGAAACGCTGACATTTTGTAATAACTGATAAAAACACTGTTTATTGCCAATTGGTCATTTTATTGTGGATACAAGTGTTTCATACAAAATAGTTAAACAAATTTTCTGTCAGTCACCTAATTTTGATTAATTGTTTTTTTGTTTTAA